TGTACAAAGAGGAGCTGGTTTCATTCCTTCTGAAACTTTATCAAACAATACAAAACGAGAGAATCCTCCCTAACTCATTTTATGAGACCAACATCATCCTGATACCAAAACATAACCTGGCAGACACTCAACTAAACAAGAAAACTTCAGGCCAATATCCATGATAAACCTCAATGCAAAAATCTTTAATAAAATACTGGCAAACCGACTGCAACAGCACATCAAGAAGCTTATCCATCACGATCAAGTAGGCTACATCCTGGGAATGCAAGGCTGGTTCAACACATGCAAATCCATAAACCCATAAACATAATCCATCACATAAATGAAACCAAAGACAAAAACCACATGATTATCTCAATAGATGCAGAGAGCCTTCAATAAAATTCAGCAGCCCTTCATGCTAAAAATTCTCAATAAACTAGGTATCGACAGAACATATCATAAAATAATAAAAGCTATATATGACAAACCTACATCCAATATCATACTGAACGGGCAAAAGCTGGAAGAATTCCCTTTGAAATCAGACACTAGACAAGGATGCCCTCTCTCATCACTCCTATTCAATATAGTATTGGAAGTTCTAGCCAGAGCAATCAGGCAAGAAAAAGAAATAAAGGGTATTCAATCAGGAAAGGAGGAAGTCTCTATTTGCAGATGACATGATTGTATATCTAGAAGAACCCATCATCTCAGCCCAAAATCTTCTCAAACTAATAAGCAACTTCAGCTAAGTCTCAGGATACAAAATCAATGTGCAGAAACCACAAGCATTCCTATATACCAATAACAGACAAACAGAGCCAAATCAAGAGTGAACTTCCATTCACAATTGCTGCAAAGAGAAAAAAATACCTAGGAATACAACTAACAAAGGATGTAAAGGACATCTTCAAGGATAACTACAAACCACTGCTCAATGAAATAAGAGAGGACAGAAACAGGTGGAGAAACATTCCATGCTCATGGTTAGGAAGAATTAATATTGTGAAAATGGCCATACGGCCCAAAGTAATCTATAGATTCAATGCTATCCCCATCAAGCTACCTATGACCTTCATCAAAGAACTGGAAAAACCACTTTAAACTTCATATGGAATCAAAACAGATCCCTGATAGCCAAGACAATCCTAAGCAAAAAGAACAAAGCTGGAGGCATCACACTGCCAGACTTCAAACTATATTACAAGGCTATAGTAATCAAAACAGCATGATACTGGAACCAAAACAGAGACATAGACCAATAGAACAGAATAGAGGCCCCAGAAGCAACACCACACATCTACAACCATCTGATCTTTGACAAACCTGACAAAAACAAGCAATGGGGAAAGGACTTCATGTTTAATAAATGGTGTTTGGAAAACTGGCTAGCAATGTGCAGAAAGCAGAAACTGGACCCCTACCTGTCACCTTACACTAAAATTAACTCCAGATGGATTAAACATTTAAACATAAAACCTAATACCATAAAAACACTAGAAGAAAATGTAGGCAAAACCATTCAGGACATAGGCATAGGCAAGGACTTCATGACTAAAACACCAAAAGCAATGGCAATAAAAGCCAAGATAGACAAATAGGATCTAATTAAAATTCAGAGCTTCTGTACAACAAAAGAACCATCATTAGAGTGAACCAGCAACCAACAGAATGGGAAAAAAATTTGTTGCAATCTACCCATCCAACAAAGGGCTGATATCCAGAATCTACAAAGAACTAAAACAGATATACAAGAAAAAAACAAACAACCCCATTCAAAAGTGGGTGAAGGATATGAACAGACACTTTTCAAAAGAAAACATATATGAGGCCAACAAACATATGAAAAAATGGTCATCATCACTGGTCATTAGAAAAATGCAAATCAAAACCACATTGAGATACCATCTCACTCCAGTTAAAATGGTGATCATTAAAAAATCTGGAGATAACGGATGCTGGAGAGGATGTGGAGAAATAGGAACACTCTTACACAGTTGGTGGGAGTGTAAATTAGTTCAACCATGGTGGAAGACAGTGTGGTGATTTCTCAAGGATCTAGAAATAGAAATTCCATTTGACCCAGCAATCCATTACTGGGTATATACCCAAAGAACTATAAATCGTTCTAATATGAAGACACTTGCACATGTATGTTCATTGCAGCCCTGTGTACAATAGCAAAGACTTGGAACCAACCCAAATTGCCCATCAATGATAGACTGGACAAAGAAAATGTGGTGCATATACACAATGGAATACTATGCAGCCATAAAAAACGATGAGTTCGCGCCCTTTGCAGGGACTTGGATGAATCTGGAAACCATCATTCTCAGCAAACTGACACAAGAACAGAAAGCCAAACGCTGCATGTTCTCACTCATAGGTGCGTGTTGAACAATGAGAACATGTGGACTCAGGGAGAGGAGCATCACACACTGGGGGCAGTTAGGGGAGGGTAGGGGATAGACAGCAGGGGGTGGGGAGGGATAACATGGGGAGAAATGCCAGATATAGTACGTACCTAAAGTAAAAAAAAAAAAAAAAGTTACATTTGCCCACTCTCATCCCTTCCTGCTTTACAGAGCTGTTACTTGAGGCTGCAGGCATCTTGTAACCATGAGGTATTAATTCTGTGATGAGACCCCTGAGAGCTGACAACACCTGGAAAAGCCAAGCTCTGAACTTCTTGTTTCTTAAGGTTTAAGCCTCTGCACTTGAATATCCTGTTAGTTAGAGCTGAATGTGTGTTTAGCTGCTACAGATGGTCAAAAGTCTGAGTAGGAGGTAACGCATCTCCACACTCCTCACTGGAGGAATATTAGAATTTGGCCTTCCTACTTTCTATTAATTGCTGCCTTCTTGATTGCCACTTCGATTGCACAGTGCCCTAAGAGCCCTAAGGAGTATAGTTCAGTGAAGGCTGGGGGTGTATAAAAGCAGCCTGTATTCACAACTGAAGTCAGCCTCTAAATGTGTGGTTTGAAGGACATCACCATTCTCATCTTAATAAATAAATAAATTTATTTTCTGCTTTCAGTGTGAAATTCTATTTGTGAAGATTAATTTCCTAGAGTCTTCAAGATTTCTTTCTTAAATTATGTGTTTTCTTGGGTGGAGACTAGCATCCTACACTGTTATCAGTGCTCATGTTAGCAGAGTTGGAGAACTGCAAGATGTGGATAAAATGAACAGAATTTTAGGACCTGTAAGTTCATGGAAATCTTTGAGATCACCTTATCTCACACTTTATTTTATAGATTTAAAAGAATAATCAAAAACTGTGGACCAGAAAGTTTCAATAGTTTACCAGATAATGTCCAGTTGGTATACTTTTAGTAGTGGAGGTGGGAGTGTGGGGCACGGCATGAAAGGAGGAGCTGATCGACATTGAAGGGAGCAGGCACATGGCTACTGGCCTCTGGGATTTGCTGATGCCTAACCCTGTAATTGCCCTGTATCTATGGGAAAGGGCAGTTGCTTCTCTCACTCTTCTTATCTCCACTCTTTACTTGATAGACGACATACATGTTTATTTTGAATAGTCTAACAAATGTCATAACATGCTACCTACCTTTATGATAGATTCTCATTCTTTAGAAAAAGCCTATTTCTGAGGTTTAGAAAATAAATCACTGCTATGTATGTTTATAAATGCTTCAGTTTATCTAGGATCTTCAAATAAAAATGTTTCTTAAAATATTAGGTTAAATATTTCAAAGAGGTTCCCATATTTTGTCAAGCACTTAGGGTTCTACATATAAAGGCATGCACTGTTTAATGAAATTCTGACTTTATATTAAAAAGCATGAATTTATTGCAATGCCAACAGTAGTCAATCTCTTCTTTAGATACGTAGTTTTAAAATATATTATTTCAAAAGAGCTAGATTTGTAATTGTTTTTGTGATTTGTTTTTGCTTAGATACCTACACAATCCTTCTATTCCAAACAATCTTAAGGCTATAAATCTTGGAATAGTTCTGTATTCTCTTGCCCTCTGCTGGCTAAATTGAGACCTTTCTTAGAACATGCCAATCAAACACCCTGTGGGTCACAGATGTACATCTTCCATCTGGCTCATTTTTGGGTCCATTTGGCAAACGCCTCCTCAACAACTTTTATGCCAGAGTTAAAAATCTAGCTTTATATCCCCTGCTTCTCATCAAGATAACCACGACCTGGTGACTCTAGTTCATAACAACTGATCTGTTCTCAAGCATCTTTTGTATTTACCCCCTGCATCCTATGATTAGCAACTTATTATATCTTATAGCAGTCCTGCATTGTCTCTACTACATAATTAAGTAAATTATCACTTCAGTGAGTAAACATATGGTGTTCCAATCTGTCCTGCTTATTAATTGCTTGCTGTTTGTCTTGTTTCCCACTGTGACTGTCATCTCTCTAGGCTTTCATTCAACCCCATCAACTGGATTCCAAAGAGCCATTGGCTATGGAAATTAAGCCCTTACACCTCTCCCAGACCTTCATGGGCTGCTGAAGTGACCCTGGTGCCTGATGTAACCCTGGCATTCACAGGCATCCCCTAGTTCCTCTGCAGTGGCCAAAGTAGAGCATACATGCTTGGGGAAGGTCAGCCCTTCCCCAGTGGGCCACGCAGAAGAAGGTGAAGCAGCACATGGTCTGAAACCTTTGTTTTCCTGTCTCCTGCGGTGGAGGGGGGTTGAACCCCAGCTGACATTCTTGAGGTTCTCCCACTGCTCTCTCTCTCCCATGTAATCCTCACAAGGATGGTGTTCTGGGGTAGGCTCTGGAGCAACTCCTGCTCTTGAATGTCTCCTACATTTACATCAAAATTGAAATCTTTTTCAATTATTTTGTCTTCCAGTTATTCTGAAGGTACATATATTATTTATTTACTTATTTATTTGGCTTTCTTTGTTGAGCTGTACTTTTTTTGTGTGCTGAAAGAGGGTATGTGGCGAGATTTCAATTTGGGTGGCTGGCGTTATTATCCTATGGAAAAATGGCAAAAGTTCTGATGTTTTCTCCTTCTCTGGGGCAGTTGCGCAGGCAGCGGATGCGGGAAGCCGGAGTCCGGGCGTCATGTACTGTAAATTTAGTGGCTTCACGCAGAAGTTGGCGGGAGCATGGGCTTCGGAGGCCTATAGCCCACAGGGATTAAAGCCTGTGGTTCCCACAAAAGCACCACCTATCATATTTGCCACACCACCTAAAGTGACCTCTGATTCCACAGTGTATGATTATGCTGGGAAAAACAGAGTTCCAGAGCTGCAGAAGTTTTTCCAGAAAGCTGATGGTGTGCCCATCTACCTGAAACGAGGCCTGCCTGACCAAACGCTTTACCGGACCACCATGGCACTGACTGTGGGAGGGACCATCTACTGCCTGATCACCCTCTACATGGCTGCGCAGCCCAAAAAATGAGTTAGGTTGCAAAGGACTGGTTTGTTTTTTTGGCACAAACCCTTTGAATTTCCCTTTTTAATGTTAATTTTTTTTTTTTACTTGGATAGCTTAACATTTTTAAAAATGCAAGAAAAATAGATACGAAGACAATATTTTGGTTTGTTTATGAAATGCCTGTGGCTTGTCAGAGCTCATTCCACAATTAAAGCCATCGTTTAAAGAAAAAAAAAAGTTCTGATGTTTTGCATTGTTTTGTTTTGTCAGTGAGGTAGAAAACAAGACAATTAGTTGAATGATGAGGATGGGAGACTGGTGGGGGAGAAGGTGTGAATGATTGTCTGAAGGGACTGGAGATGGAAGGACAAGGCAGTGTGACTGCCTAGCAGCATGAAGACACTGCTTGCGGTTAGCAGTAGTAAATTTAAAGTAAGACCAGTCAGCATGATCATGGGCTTTTCTCCAGCAATATTCAGCTGCATCCTGTTGTGGTTTTGTCAAATGAGTACAAAGAAACATGGTAAGCAGATATGAGAAAAACCTTAAAGCACTCCTGTGAAATACAAAAGTAGAAAGATGTGCTGTATTCTTGGATTAGACAATGAGGCATCATAAGGATGCCAATTCTCCCAGGTTAATATATACACTTACTGTCATCACATTAAAAGTAACCATTTATTTTTTTCTGGAGTGAGAGAAGTTGATTCTAAACTACATAAGAAAAATTAACATGCAAGAATTTTCAGAAAAATTCCTAAAAATAGGCATTATAAACAAAAGGAACGAATTGGCTGTTCAGAGCAGAAAGAAATTTTAAAAATGAAAATGACCCTAAAATATCTGAAAAGCTACTCAGTCTAACTTATATTAAGAAAAAAGTGAATTAAAAGAATTTAAAAATCTTACCGCTCATCTACTGAATTGGCAAAGTTCAAAAAGTTTGCTAATATACTTTGTTGGTGGGGCTGTTGAAAAATAGGTTCTGTCATCATTATGGTGTAGTCCCTATGGGGAATAGTTTAGAATTAACTAATAAAACTATATTTGAATTTACCTGTTGATTGAGCAATTCTACTTTTAAGAATCTCTACAAATTAAAAATGATACGTGAAGAAAGTTATTTATCAAGAGACATTATAGCAAGCAGTGATTATAAACAATCCAAATATCCATCTCCATGTTAATGGATTGGAAGAATCAGTATTATTAAAATGTCCATACTACCCAAAGCGATCTACAGATTCAATGCAATCCCTATGAAAATAACACTGACATTCTTAACAGAAATTTTTAAAAAGTCTAAAATTTATATGGTACTAAAAAAGATACAGAATAGTTCAAGTTATGCTGAAAAATAAGAACAAAACTGAGGGCATCACATTACATAAATTGAAATTACACTGCAGAATTATAGTAACCAAAACAGCATGTTACTGGCATAAAAACAGACATATAGGCCAATGGAGCAGAATAAAGAACCAAGAAATAAATACATACTCAACAGTGAACTCGTTTTCAACAAAGGTGCCAAAAACATACACTGGAGAAAGGACAGTCTCTTTAATAAATGGTGCTGGGAAAACAATGTCCATATGCAGAAGGATGAAAGTTGACCCCTATCTCTTGATACATGCAAAAATCAAATAAAAATGGATCAAAGACTTAAATCTAAGACCTCAAACTATGAAACTACTGGAAGAAAACACTGGGAAACTCTCTAAGACATTGGTCTGAAAAAAGATTTCTTGAGTAATACCCACAAGCATCGACAACCAAAGCAAAAATGGACAAATGGGATCACATCAAGTTAAAAAGATTCTGCACAGCAAGAAAACAATCAATGAAGTCAGGCAACAACTCACAGAATGAGAGAAAATATTTGCAAACTATCTATCTGACCAGGAATTAAACAAAATATATAAGAAGCTCAGTCAACTCAATAGGAAAAAAATCCCTAATAATCTGATTTAAAAATGGGCAAAAGATCTGACGATATTTCTCACAAGAAGATATACAAATGGCAAATAGGTATATGAAAAAGTGTTCAACATCAATGATCATCAGAGAAATGCAAATCAAAACTTCAATAAGATATAATCTTACACCAGTTAAAATGGTCTTTATTCAAAAGGCAGTTGGCTGGGCGCGGTGGCTCACACCTGTAATCCCAGCACTTTGGAAGGCCGAATGAAGCAGGTGGATCACCTGATGTCAGGAGTTTGAGACCAGCCTGGCCAACATGGTGAAATCCTGTCTTTACTAAAAATACAAAAAATTAGCCAGGTATGGTGGCACACACCTGTAGTTCCAGCTACTTGGGAGGCTGAGGCAGGAAAATCATTTGAACCCAGGAGGCAAAGGTTGCAGTGAGCTGAGATCACGCCACTGCACTCCAGTCTGAGTGACAAGAGTGAGACTCTGTCTCAAAAAAAACAAAAATAGAAAAACAAAAACCAAACAAAAAAAAACAAAAGGCGGTCAGTAACAAATGCTGGCAAGGGTATGGAGAAAAAGGAACTCTCATACACCGTTGGTGAGAATGTAAATTAGTACAGCCACTATTTTGTTAGTACAGCCACTATTTTGAGAACGGTATATGTTTCTCAAGAAAACTAAAAATAGAACTAACCATATGATCTAGCAACCCCGTTGCTAGGTATATACACAAAAGAAACCAGATCAGTGTATCAAAGAGATGTCTGCATCCCCATGTTTATTGCAGCACTATTTACAATAACCAAGATTTAGAATCAACCTCAATGTCCCTCAACAGACACATGGATAGAAGAAATGTGGTATACATACACAATGGAGTACTATTCAGCCATAAAAAAGAATGAGATCTTATGGATCTCACTATGGATAAATTCCTGGACACATAGCCAAATTCTACCAGAGGTACAAAGAGAAGCTGGTAATATTCCTTCTGAAACTATTCCAAACAGTTGAAAAGGAAGGACTCCTCTCTAACTCATTTTATGAGGCCAGCATCATCCTGATAACAAAACCTGGCAGAGACACAACAAAAAAGAAAACTTCAGGCCAATATCCCTGATGAACATTGATGTGATTATCCTCAATAAAATACTAGCAAACCAAAGCCAGTAGCACATCAAAAGGCTTTTCCACTACTACCAAGTCAGATTCATCCTTGGGATGCAAGCTGTTCAACATATGCAAATCAATAAACATAATCCATCAAATAAACAGAACCAATGACAAAAACTATATTATTATCCTAATAGATGCAGAAAAGCCTTTTGATAAAATTCTACATCCTTCTTGCTAAAAACACTCAATAAACTAGGTATTAATGGAACATATCTTAAAATAGTAAGAGCTATATATGACAAACACACAACCAATATCATACAGAATGAGCAAAATTTGGAAGCATTCCCTTTGAAAACTGGCACAAGACAAGGATACCCTCTCTCACCACTTCTATTCAACATACTATTGGAAGTTCTCGCCAGGGCAATCAGGCAAGAGAAAGAAATAAAGAGTATTCAAATAGGAAGAAAGAAAGGCAAATTGTCTCTGTTTGCAGATGACATGATACTATACTTAGAAAACCCCATCGTCTCAGCCCTGAAAACTCCTTAAACTGATAAGCAACTTCAGCAAAGTCTCAGGATACAAAATCAATGTGCAAAATTCACAAGCATTCCTATACACCAACAATAGGCAGAGACCCAAATCATGAATGAACCCTCATTCACAATTGCTACAAAGAGAATAAAATACCTAGAAATACGGCTAACAAGGGATGCAAAGTACCTCTTCAAGGAGAACTGCAAACCACTCTCAAGGAAATAAGAGAGGACACAAACAAATGGAAAAACATTCCATCCTCATGGATAGGAAGAATCAATATTGTGAAAATGGCCACACTGCCTAAAGTAATTTATAGATTCAATGCTATTCCCATTAAACTACCATTGACATTCTTCACAGAATTAGAAAAACTACTTTAAATTTCATATGAAACTAAAAAAGAGCCCATATAGCCAAGACAGTCCTAAGCAAAAAGAACAAAGCTGGAAGTATCATACTGCCTGACTTCAAAAAATACTACAAGGCTACAGTAACCAAACAGCATGGTACTGGTTCCAAAACAGACATATAGGTCAATGGAACAGAACATAGACCTCAGAAATGACATCACTAATCTACAACCATCAGATCTGTGACAAATCTTCCAAAAACAAGCAATGGGGAAAGGATTCCCTGTTTAATAAGTGGTGCTGGGAAAATAAATGGGCTAGCTATATGTAGAAAACTGAAACTGGATCCCTTCCTTAAACCCTACACAAAAATTAACTCAAGATATTTTAAATACTTAAATGTAAAACCCAAAACCATAATCCTAAAAGAAAACCTAGGCAATACCATTCAGGATGTACACATGAGCAAAGACTTCATGATGAAAATACCAAAAGCAATTGCAACAAAAGCCAATACAAATGGGATCTAATTAAACTACAGAGCTTTTGGAAAACAAAAGAAGCTATCATCAGATTGAACAGATAACCTACAGAATGGGAGAAAATTTTTACAATCTACCCACCTGACAATGGTCTAATATCCAGAATCTACAAGGAGCTTAAACAAATTTACAAGAAAAAAAAACCAAACAACTCCATCAAAAAGTGGACAAAAGGTATGAATAGACATTTCTCAAAAGAAGACATCTATGCAGCCAACAAACATATGGAGAAAAGCTCACCATCACTGATCATTAGAGAAATGCAAATCAAAACCACAGAATGACAATTATTAAAAAGTCAAGAAACAATAGATGCTGAAGAGGATGTGGAGAAATAGGAACGCTTTTGCACTATTGGTGGGAATGTAGATTGGTATAACTATTGTGGAGGACAGTGTGGGGATTCCTGAGGGAACTATAACCAGAAATACCATTTGACCCAGCAGTCCCATTACTGGGTGTATACCCAAAGGAATATAAATCATTCTACTATAAAGACACATGCACATATATGTTCATTGCAGCACTATTTACAATAGCAAAGACATGGAGCCAACCCAAATGCCCATGAATGATAGACTGCATAAAGACAATGTGGTACATATAAATTATGGAATACCAGGCAACTATAAAAGGAATGAGATCATGTCCTTTGCAGGGACATGGATGAAGCTGGAAGCCATCATTCTCAGCAAACTAACACAGGAACAGAAAACCAAACACCACATGTTCTC